GCCAACAGAGAGTTTTTATGAGGTCTAGATCTTCGATGAGTCGGGGTATTGACTGGGGGGTGCCTCAGGGTTCTGTTTTGGGTCCTCTTCTATTCCTGTTATTCATCAACGATCTGGCAAGCCTGAAAATTGATGGCAAATTTACCCTTTTCGCGGATGACACAACTGTCTTATGGCACGGTCGCGATTCAGCCTCTTTGAAGAGGTCTATTTCTGGTGACCTCGAGAAAATTAAAGTTTGCTGTGACTCCAACCTTTTGGTTCTGAACTTTGACAAAACAAATATTGTTAGCTTTAAGTGTGACTTGGAGGACTTGGTTATTGGGGATAATATTATTAAAAGTCGCCCTGATACCAAGTTTCTTGGACTTGTTATTGACAGGGAACTAAGGTTTGAGTCGCATATTGTTGGTCTGGGCAGAAAAATAGCATCAGGGTGCTATGCAGTTAGAGTTACCGTTAATGAACTGGGCCCCTCAATGGGACGAACCATCTATTACGCACTTATTGAGTCACGTCTTAGATATGGTATATGCTTCTGGGGTATGACAAACTTACATCTGCTAAATACATTGTTTGTTTTACAAAAGCGAGCAGTAAGATATATATGTCGTGCAAGGTCGAGAGATTCGTGCAAACCTCTGTTCTTGAACCAACAAATCCTGACTCTCTACAGTCTGTTTATTTTAGAAACCGTGTGTATTGTCTACAAAAACCGTCAGAGCTTTTCACCCCGCAGTTCAAACTACAATACGCGACAGTACCTCAATTTGCCATTGCCCATTCCTACATCGACTTTAACCAAAAAAACGGTTATATATGAAAGTATCAAACTGTATAATTACTTACCCAATGAGGTGAAGATGCTTCCTACAATGAAACAATTTAAAAAAGGAGTTCGGCAGATTTTAGTTGGTAAGACCTATTATAGTGTGGACGAATTTTATAATGATTTTAATTGACATTTAGCATTCTGCATATTTTGTTTTTTGTATTTTATTTAATTGTTTATATATTGTTAAAACCTATATAGTCATGTATTTTTGTTTTGTTCAGTATTTTATAATTTACACATTAGGTTTAAGTTTTACAGCTCTATTCACCATTTTGTTTGTTAGTCCTGATTTTTTATTTTTAAATTTTAATTTTGATTATTGATGATTTTTGTTTATAATGTATATGCTTTGTCAACAAGACTATTGTCTTATAAGATAATAAAGCTTATTTTGATTTGATTTGTTTTGAATTGATTTTTTTTTTAGATAAATTTAATGTCTTTCTTTGTCTAACACACGCTTTCGGCCATAAGTGTCTCTTTGTCGCACTCATTTGCCATTGAAAAATGACTCAATTTTTGTTTTACAAAAAAAAAAAATAATTTTGGAAAGAAATTTGACGGAAAAAAAGCATAAGAAATTTGGAAAAAAAATTAAATTTTCAGAATCTTTAAAAACGTTGATTTGAAATTGATGTTTTTTTTAGAAAAAATTCATATTGCTTTCTCTGTCTAACATACGTTTTTGGCCATAAGTGTCTCTTTGTCGCACTCATTTGCCTTTAAAAAATGACTCAATTTTTGTTCTACAAAAAGAAAAATTAATTTTGAAAGGAAATTTGACGGTAAAAATGCATAAGAAATTTTTAAAAAAAGGAATCAAACGTTGATTTAATTTTTTTTTTTTTTTTGAGAACAATTTCATATGACTTTCTCTGTCTAACACATGCTTTTGGCTATAAGAGTCTCTTTGTCGCACTCATTTGCTTTCAAAAAATGACTCAATTTTTGTTCTACAAAAAGAAAAATTAATTTTGGAAGAGAAATTGACGGAAAAATGCATAAAAAATTTAGAAAAAAAGAAAATTTTCAGAATTTTTAAAAACGTTGATTTGAAATTTGATTTTTTTAAGGAAAAATTTCATATGTCTTTCTCTGTCTAACACACGGTTTTGGTCATAAGTGTCTTTTTGTCGCACTCATTTGCCTTCAAAAAATGACTCAATTTTTGTTCTACAAAAAGAAAAATTAATTTTGGAAGAGAAATTGACGGAAAAATGCATAAAAAAATTAGAAAAAAAGAACATTTTCAGAATTTTTAAAAACGTTGATTTGAAAATGATTTTTTTTTTAGATAAATTTAATGTCTTTCTTTGTCTAACACACGCTTTTGGTCATAAGTGTCTCTTTGTCGCACTCATTTGCCGTTGAAAAATGACTCCATTTTTGTTCTACAAGAAAAAAAATTAATTTTGGAAAGAAATTTCACGAAAAAGTGCATAAGAAATTCAGGAAAAAAAGGAAAATTTTTACAATTTTTAAAAACGTTGATTTAATATTGATTTTATTTTTATAAATATTTTATCTGTCTCTCTCTGTCTAACACACGCTTTTGATCATAAGTGTCTCTTTGTCGCACTCATTGGCCATTGAAAAATGACTCAATTTTTGTTCTACAAAAAGAAAAATTAATTTTGGAAAGAAATTTGACGGAAAAAATGCATAAGAAATTTGAAAAAAAAAGAAAATTTTCAGAATCTCTAAAAACATTAATTTAAAAGTGATTTTTTTTTTTAAAAAAAATTTCATATGTTTTTCTTTGTCTAACATACGTTTTTGGCCATAAGTGTCTCTTTGTCGCACTCATTTGCCTTTAAAATAATGACTCAATTTTTGTTCTACAAAAAGAAAAATTAATTTTGGAAGAGAAATTGATGGAAAAATGCATAAAAAAAATAGAAAAAAAGAACATTTTCAGAATTTTTAAAAACGTTGATTTGAAATTGATTTTTTTAAGGAAAAAATTCATATGTCTTTCTTTGTCTAACATACGCTTTTGGCCATAAGTGTCTCTTTGTCGCACTCATTTGTCGTTGAAAAATTACCCAATTTTTGTTTTACAAGAAGAAAAATTAATTTTGGAGAGAAATTTGACGGAAAAAATGCATAAGAAAAAGAAAATTTTCAGAATTTTTAAAAACGTTGATTTAAAATTGAATTTTTTTTAGAAAAATTTAAAATGTCTTTCTCTGTTTAACACACGTTTCTGGTTATAAGTGTCTCTTTGTCGCACTCATTTGCCATTGAAAAATGACTCAATTTTTGTTCTACAAAAAGAAAAATTAATTTTGAAAGGAAATTTGACGGAAAAAATGCATAAGAAATTTTTAAAAAAAGGAATCAAACGTTGATTTAATTATTTTTTTTTTTTGAGAACAATTTCATATGTTTTTCTCTGTCTAACACATGCTTTTGGCTATAAGAGTCTCTTTGTCGCACTCATTTGCTTTCAAAAAATGACTCAATTTTTGTTCTACAAAAAGAAAAATTAATTTTGGAAGAGAAATTGACGGAAAAAATGCATAAAAAATTTAGAAAAAAAGAAAATTTTCAGAATTTTTAAAAACGTTGATTTGAAATTGATTTTTTTAAGGAAAAAATTCATATGTTTTTCTTTGTCTAACATACGCTTTTGGTCATAAGTGTCTCTTTGTCGCACTCATTTGCCGTTGAAAAATGACTCAATTTTTGTTTTACAAAAGGAAAAATTAATTTCGGGAAGAAATTTGAGGGAAAAAATGCATAAGAAACTTGGAAAAAAAGGAAATTTTCAGAATCTTAAAACGTTGATTTAAATTTGATTTTTTTTAAGAAAAATTTCATATGTCTTTCTCTGTTTAACATACACTTTTGGTCATAAGTGCCTCTTTGTCGCACTCATGGGCCATTGAAAAATGTCTCAATTTTTGTTCTACAAAAAGAAAAATTAATTTTGAAAGGAAATTTGACGGAAAAAATGCATAAGAAATTTTTAAAAAAAGGAATCAAACGTTGATTTAATTATTTTTTTTTTGAGAACAATTTCATATGACTTTCTCTGTCTAACACATGCTTTTGGCTATAAGAGTCTCTTTGTCGCACTCATTTGCTTTCAAAAAATGACTCAATTTTTGTTCTACAAAAAGAAAAATTAATTTTGGAAGAGAAATTGACGGAAAAATGCATAAAAAATTTAGAAAAAAAGAAAATTTTCAGAATTTTTAATAACGTTGATTTGAAATTTGATTTTTTTAAGGAAAAAATTAATATGTTTTTCTTTGTCTAACATACGCTTTTGGTCATAAGTGTCTCTTTGTCGCACTCATTTGCCGTTGAAAAATGACTCAATTTTTGTTTTACAAAAGGAAAAATTAATTTCGGGAAGAAATTTGAGGGAAAAAATGCATAAGAAACTTGGAAAAAAAGGAAATTTTCAGAATCTTAAAACGTTGATTTAAATTTGATTTTTTTTAAGAAAAATTTCATATGTCTTTCTCTGTTTAACATACACTTTTGGTCATAAGTGCCTCTTTGTCGCACTCATGGGCCATTGAAAAATGTCTCAATTTTTGTTCTACAAAAAGAAAAATTAATTTTGGAAGGGAAATTGACGGAAAAATGCATAAAAAATTTAGAAAAAAAGAAAACTTTCAGAATTTTTAAAAACGTTGATTTGAAATTGATTTTTTTAAGGAAAAATTTCATATGTCTTTCTTTGTCTAACATACGCTTTTGGCCATAAGTGTCTCTTTGTCGCACTCATTTGTCGTTGAAAAATTACCCAATTTTTGTTTCACAAGAAGAAAAATTAATTTTGGAGAGAAATTTGACGGAAAAAATGCACAAGAAATTTGAAAAAAAAAGAAATTTAGAAAAAAAGAAAATTTTCAGAATCTTTAAAAATGTTGATTTTTTTTTTAGAAAAATTTTATATATCTTTCTCTGTCTAACACACGGTTTTGGCCATAAGTGTTTCTTTGTCGCACTCATTTGCCTTTAAAAAATTACTTAATTTTTGCTCTACAAAAAGAAAAATTAATTTTGGAAAGGGAAATAATGCATAAGAAATTTAGAAGAAAAGAAAATTTTTAAGATCTTTGAAAATGTTAATTTAAAAATGATTTTTTTTAGAAAAATTTCATATGTTTTTCTCTGTCTAACACACGGTTTTGGCCATAAGTGATTGATTGGAAGCAAAAGCCAATAGAACAACCTCAATAAAACACAAAAAACAATTTGAATATATTAAAAAGTTTATTTAAAATAATAATATTCTATAGTACAAGAATAAAATAATTATCGAAACAAAAAAAATAAAGAGGAGAGAGCTCCTACAACGGAACCAATTAATAATAATAATTTAAAAAATAAAATAACTATATTAAAAACATATACATTTATATATAAAATTTATATACAGTCTAAAAAGGACCTCGAACCTTGACAACTTATTACAAGGGACCCTTTTCTTTTGTACCTGAACCAAGTTCAGGTAGTGAGAGGGGCAACCCCAAAACAAAAATGGAATGCACGTTTTTCAAAGTTCGAGGTACTCATTTGAATAATTACACTACAAAGATAAAAAAATTAATTTAATATCACATTTTCCTTTTTCTTTTCGTTGTTAAACAAAACTTAAACCGAGATCATAGTTTTAAGGGCACTGATTTTAGTTATACGGTCATGGCGAGAAATGGCCTTTGCTGTATACTGTCCGGCGTATCCTTGGCTTGAGTCGAACACAAATCCGGAGTTGCTGATCTGTTGATTTTGGCAGCTTCACCTGCCATGCTGAAGCTGAATATTGACACCAGTGACGTAATACGATCAATTTCCATGGCACCACTACTGCGTTGTTCAGCTTCAACTTCTTTGCTCACTATGTCGGATAATAAAGTCGCGTCGTCTAAAAACACTGAATCGTCACTACTACTAGTTTCACTATCTTGGCGTAGTTTTTTTGGTAGAATTGACTGGACAGCTTCTTCAGTTTCCCATTCAGCTACTGCACGGCGTCTTTTGAGTGAGTTTTTGTTGCTGCTACTTTTGTCCAAATCTAAATAAGTAAGTTCTTGTTGCGGTGGTAAGTTTTCCTTGTCTTGACATACACATGAAGCGTCTTGAGAATCGGTGTTTGAAGCTTCTAGACCAGCTTCTTCAGCTGTAAGGCCCACCAAATCTTCTTCAGGCAATTCAGGAGTTCTTTGCTGTTGTTGCACAGGATGATAATGTACCATATTGTAGGCTTCCTCCATAAAAATATATCGGGCCTTTTGCAAAACCGTTGCAACCAAAAGGTTTTTGTGTAAACTCACCCCGCCGCGATGCGACCGAGATTGGGCGATTTTTGTAAGCGATATTCCAATCAAACGTTGCGCTTCACTTGCCATTTTTTGAGTGTTTTTGAAAATTGTTTTCACGTTGCCGTGTTGCGGATCGCGACTCGAATACGAGGCGACGCGCGCTTTAGGTCGGCTTTATAGGTTCGCCACGTGACGTCACCAACCTACTTTCAACGTGTCGTTCAACCAATGAAACGTCGTCCTTGTAGCGAACTCGTCCGACGTGCGGTGGGCGACACAAGCAGCAAGCGACAACAAAAACGTAGCAACAGGGGCTTATGATCTCCTATAAGGTGAATATTGGAAAATGAGCTTTATTGAGCTATGGTGTTTTTTTTGTTTTGTGTTTTTGGGACAGTGGCGGTGCGTTTGGAGAGGCAAATTCTATAAAAAAAAATACTTTTTAGGCAGCATTTCAAACTTCGGATAATATGACGTCATTCGCTACAACAAACAATAATACAGATTACAAGGTATTAAAAATTCGTTTTTTTTTTTTTTAAATCAAAATATGCCAGTGTAAACCTAGTTATTTCCATTGTATGTCCATTTGTAACCAATCACAAGTCAACTTATATAAAAATTATGCGTTGGCTTGTTGTTGTTGTTGACATTTTAAATGTCAACTATCAAAAGTTTTAGTTTGGTGTTTTTTTTGGTGACTGGGTTTACACTGTCAATTGTCAATTTCATTGATTTTCCTGAGCGGGTTCCTTTTTTTATTCCAAAAAAGATGTTAACGAACGCACCCCTATTTAATTTTTAAAATTATTTATAATTTTGTTGTTTTTCGCGGGAAAAATTTGAAATTTTTGTGTCATGCGCACCTGACTTTTCTCTTTTTCTCTACAAAATGTCATAATTTTTCCTTGAATAGTTTTCCAAAAAAAAAAAAAAATGTTAGAGGGTGCATTTATGCCTTATTTAGTCGATTTTCATTAATTTCCAATGAGTATATTTTCCACTGGAAAAATTTGAAATTTTACTATGATACGTCCCAGACTTTCCTCTTTTTTTCCAGAAAATGTCATAATTTTCCCCTTAATAGTTTTCCAGAAGAAAAATAAAATGTTCGATGGTGTATCTATGCCTAATTTAGTGTTGATTTTCATTAATTTCCAATGGGGCTATTTTCCACTGGAAAAATTTGAAACTTTACTATGATACGCCCCTGATTTTCTTCCATATTTCCAGAAAATGTCATAATTTTCTCTTGAATAGTTTTAGAAAAAAATAAATAAAATGTTAGATGGTGCATTTATGCCTAATTTAGTTGATATTCATTATTTTTCAATAAGGTTATTTTCCACTGGAAAATTTGAAATTTTACGATGATACGCCTCTGACTTTCTTATTTTTTTCCAGAAAATATCATAATTTTCCTTTGAATAGCTTTCTAGAAAAAAAATTAAATGTTAGATAGTGCATTGTTGCCTAATTTAATTGATTTTCATTAATTTCCAATGGAGTTATATTTCACTGGAAAAAATTGAAATTTTGGTATGATACGCCCCTGACTTTTCTCTTTTTGTTCAAAAAATTTCATTATTTTCCTTTGGATAGTTTTCCAGAAAAAAAATGAAATATTAGATGTTGCATTTATACCTAATTTAATTGATTTTCATTAATTTCCAATGGAATTATTTTTCACTGGAAAAATTTGAAATTTTACTATGATACGCCCCTGACTTTTTTCTTTTTTTCCAGAAAATGTCATAATTTTTCCATGGATACTTTTCCAGAAAAAAAAATAAAATGTTAGATGGTGCCTTTATGCCTAATTTAGTTGATATTCATTAATTTCCAATAGGGTTATTTTCCATTTGAAAAATTTGAAAGTTTACTATGATAGGTCCGTGACTTTCTTTTTTTTTTCCAGAAAATGTCATAATTTTACCCTCAATAGTTTTCCAGAAGAAAAATAAAATGTTGGATGGTGTATCTATGCCTAATTTAGTGTTGATTTTCATTAATTTCCAATGGGGCTATTTTCCACTGGAAAAATTTGAAATTTCACTATAATACGCCCTTGATTTTCTTCTTTTTTTCCAGAAGATGTCATAATTTTCTCCTGAATATTTTTCCAGAAAAAAAATAAAATATTAAATGGTGCATTTATGTCTAATTAAGTTGATTTTCATTAATTTCCAATGAGGTTATTTTCCACTGGAAAAATTTGAAATTTTAGTATGATACGCCCCTGACTTTTCTCGTTTTGTCCAGAAAATGTCATAATTTTCCTTTGGATAGTTTTCCAGAAAAAAAATAAAATATTAAATAGTGCATTTATGTCTAATTTATTTGATTTTCATTAATTTCCAATGAGGTTATTTTCCACTGGAAAAATTTGAAACTTTAGTATGATACGCATGTGACTTTTCTCGTTCTTTCCAGAAAATTTCATAATTTCCTCCTGAATAATTTTCTAGGTAAAAAAAAAAAAATTGTTGATTTACTATATTAATTTCCAATGGAGTTATGTTTCACTGGAAAAATTTGAAATTTTAATATGATACGCCCCTGACTTTTCTCGTTTTGTCCAGAAAATTCCATAATTTTCCTCTGGATAGTTTTCCAGAAAAAAAAAAAATGTTGGATGGTGCATTTATGTCTAATTTAATTGATTTTTATTAATTTCCAATGGAGTTTTTTTTCACTGGAAAAATTTGAAGTTTTAGTATGATACGCCCCTGACTTTTCTCGTTTTGTCCAGAAAATATCATAATTTTCCTATGGATAGTTTTCCAAAAAAAAAAAATTAAATATTAAATGGGGCATTTATGTCTAATTTATTTGATTTTCATTAATTTCCAATGGGGTTATTTTCTACTGGAAAAATTTGAAATTTCCTTATGATACGCCCCTGACTTTCTTATTTTTTTTCCAGAAAATGTCATAATTTTCCCTTGAATAGTTTTCCAGAAAAAAATTAAATGTTAGATGATGCATTTATGCCTAATTTAGTTGATTTTTATTAATTTCCAATGGGGTTATTTTTCACTGGAAAAATTTGAAATTTTAGTATGATACGCCCCTGACTTTTCTCGTTTTGTCCAGAAAATGTCATAATTTTCCTTTGGATAGTTTTCCAGAAAAAAAATAAAATATTAAATAGTGCATTTATGTCTAATTTATTTGATTTTCATTAATTTCCAATGAGGTTATTTTCCACTGGAAAAATTTGAAACTTTAGTATGATACGCATGTGACTTTTCTCGTTCTTTCCAGAAAATTTCATAATTTCCTCCTGAATAATTTTCTAGGTAAAAAAAAAAAAATTTGTTGATTTACTATATTAATTTCCAATGGAGTTATGTTTCACTGGAAAAATTTGAAATTTTAATATGATACGCCCCTGACTTTTCTCGTTTTGTCCAGAAAATTCCATAATTTTCCTCTGGATAGTTTTCCAGAAAAAAAAAAAAATGTTGGATGGTGCATTTATGTCTAATTTAATTGATTTTTATTAATTTCCAATGGAGTTTTTTTTCACTGGAAAAATTTGAAGTTTTAGTATGATACGCCCCTGACTTTTCTCGTTTTGTCCAGAAAATATCATAATTTTCCTATGGATAGTTTTCCAAAAAAAAAAAATTAAATATTAAATGGGGCATTTATGTCTAATTTATTTGATTTTCATTAATTTCCAATGGGGTTATTTTCTACTGGAAAAATTTGAAATTTCCTTATGATACGCCCCTGACTTTCTTATTTTTTTTCCAGAAAATGTCATAATTTTCCCTTGAATAGTTTTCCAGAAAAAAATTAAATGTTAGATGGTGCATTTATGCCTAATTTAGTTGATTTTAATTAATTTCCACTGGGGTTATTTTTCACTGGAAAAATTTGAAATTTTAGTATGATACGCCCCTGACTTTTCTCGTTTTGTCCAGAAAGTATCATAATTTTCCTTTGTATAGTTTCCCAGAAAAAAAAAATATATTAAATGGTGCATTTATGTCTAATTTATTTGATTTTCATTAATTTCCAATGAGGTTTTTTTTACTAGAAAAATTTGAAGTTTTAGTATGAAATGCCCCTGACTTTTTTCTTTTTTTCCAGAAAATCTCACAATTTCCCCCTGAATAATTTTCCAGAAAAAAAAAAGTTAGATGATGCATTTATGTTTAATTTAGTTGATTTTCATTAATTTCCAATGGGGTTATTTTCTACTGGAAAAATTTGAAATTTCACTATGATACGCCCCTGACTTTCTTCTTTTTTTTCCAGAAAATGTCATAATTTTCCCTTGAATAGTTTTCCAGAAAAAAAATTAAATATTAGATGGTGCATTTATGCCTAATTTAATCGATTTTCATTAATTTCCAATGATGTTATTTTCCACTGGAAAAATTTGAAATTTTACTATGATACGCCCCTGATTCTCCTCTTTTTTTTCAGAAAATGTCATAATTTTCTCCTGGATAGTTTTTCAGAAAAAAATAAAATGTATGTGATATATATACAGGGTTCTCGTTATGTATGAAAACGGTCTGATATTTCAGAACCGGCTTGAAAAAAATTTACAATATTTTTTACCTGGTGGTATTTGTAATGTTGCCAAGTTTACCGTTCTTAAATGCCATATGTAACTTGATTTTTTTAAATGAATGCCCCTCTTTATTTTTATGGTAATTAAATCAGCGTGTCAACATTACTAAAACCCCTGAATACCAAAACTCCATTTTACTTGGTTTATGAGATATGACAACACAGATTTTTTGTTAAAATGTCTCGTATTTCAGAAAAGCCTTTAGCAAAATGTACAATATTTCTTACCTGGGGGTTTTTGGGAATGCCCGATTCAATGGTGGTATGGTGCCAAATTTACCGTATACGAGATGCCGTATGTAGGTAAGTTGATTTTTTTTCAATGGCCCCTACGCGCAGTTACATACAGCATCTTAGAAATGGTAAACTTGGCAACATTGCAAATACCACCTTTGAATCGGGCAATCCTGAAAACCCCCTGGTAGGGAATACATTTTGCTAAAGTTTTTTCTGAAATAAGTAAAATGGAATTTTGGTATTCAGGTGTTTTAGTAATGTTGAAACGCTGAATTAATTACATTAAAAGTAAAGAGGGGCATCCATTGAAAAAAATCAAGTTACATAAAACATCTTAGTAACGGTAAACTTGGCAACATTGCAAATACCACCATTGAATCGGGCATTCCCAAAAACCCCCAGATAGGAAGTATTGAAATTTTTTTTTTCGAGCCGGTTCTGATATATCAGACCTTTTCCATACATAATGACAACCCTGTACATATAGATTTGTGAAAAAATACAATTTTAGAAAGGTCTGCTTTGATATTTTCAAAGAGTGAAATTATGTGAGAATTTTTGCTTACCTTGACAATGTTTTCTTTGGAAATTTGCACTTTTCCATTAAATCCAAGGTCGCACATCACAAGAAACGTCTCAAAACCTTTTTCTGCACTAAATTTGCACGAAAATCAGAAAATATTCGAGAAAATCCATGGACGCAAAGTTTATAAAATTCCAGAATCACCATTTTAAAATGGCCGTTTGATGTTTTTTGAAACATGAAGTTGGCCGCCTATAATTTATGGATTTCTTTTTATTAATTTTTTTTGCTACAAGAAACGTTGCAAAACTACTTTTACGCCCTGAAATTTGCTTGAAAAACGGAAAATATTTGGAGAAAAACTAAAATTATACACAGGATGTCAAAACCAAAATTACAGTTTTCTGTAAAAAAAAAAGTTATGGCCGCTTATGGTAATTTTTGTTTGCCTTGATGAAGTTTTCTTGGAATAATTACCATTTTCCTGCTGCTTCCGGAAAATTTAATGCCCCACATTATAAGCAAAGTTCCAAAACATTTTTTCGCACTAATGGCCGTTTCCACCAACTATTTCAGGGAAGCCTTAACAATAAGTATTATTCCCTAAACTGACAGTTTTCCATGGAGAGATATCAGTTAAGAAAATACTTATCGTTAAGGTTTACCTAAAATCGTTGGTGAAAACGGCCATAAATTTTCCTGTAAATTGGAAAAAAATCAAGGATGATACACACTACTACTACAGACAGGATGGCCTATCCTCATAAGGCCTGTGTGGTGTGTAACAAAACTTGAAGTAAATACAAGTACAAAAATATACCTACTTAAGTATTTGACTTAAGTACTAATCCAAACACTGGTACTTGTACTTGCAATTTCAAGTTTTTCAAATTTTACTTGTACTTGATACTTAAAATATCTGTCAATAAGTACATATATTTTACTTAAAAGCTTTTGAAAATTTGTACTTAAGTTATATTAAATTACTTAAGTAGGTAACAGTGAAATTACTTGAAGCAAATATTTTCAATTGAAAGTTTTGTCTATTCATCGCGTGACGTCATAAGCACACGCAAAAATTTCAAAACTTTTTTCTAAAACTTTTATTTATGGGTCACACCCCCTTCAAGATTATCGATAGAATAATTGAAAATTGAAATAAAAAATACTTAAATTATTTTTTGAAGTATTTCTACCTAAATGTCATATCAAGTACGCAAGTTTAAGTAAATACTTAAACTTAACTCTGACTTTGGTGTTATTTGGTACTTGTACTTGAATTTGGACAATTCAAGTCAATTTACTTGATATTTTAAGTATTTCCTTCTGTACTTATACTTGTACTGGTACTTGATTCGTATTAAGAAAGAACCTTGTACTTAATACTTGAGTACTTTTCCTTGGTACTTACAACAGCTCTGGGTCCTTATTCTTGAAACAGAGGAGCAGCGTTCCCAGGAGAACGAGTGTTCCGTCTTTGTTACTTGTATTATTATTTGCATATCATTGAGAAAGACAGGATACTTGCTTTCCTGGGAACGTTGTTCCCCTGTTCCAAGAATAAGGACCTTGTTTGGTAATATGTATATCATGAGTAGACTCCCATCAGTGGCGGCTCGTGACTATTTCAAATGAGGAGGCTAAATATGATCGTTTCAACGTTTTTTTTTGCTCCTCTATCCAATGGTATTATTTTTTTTTGGAAATTCGAAAAAAAAAATTCAAAATCAAGAAAAGATGGGGAGGCTAACTTTTTTCCGGTACATCGGAGAGAACTGAAACTCGGAATATCGACTAAAAATCACATTTTGAATATTCCCGCTTTTTGATTGGCTCCAAATTATCCGCTGACCAATAGAATTATAGACTGGACCCCGTGATTAAAATAACTCTAGCCCTTCGGGCTCGCGTATAACTCCGGCCCTTCGGGCTCGCGTATAACTCCGGCCCTTCGGGCTCGCGTATAACTCCGGCCCTTAGGGCTCGCGTATAACTCCGGCCCTTAGGGCTCGCGTATAACTCCGGCCCCTCGGGCCGGAGTTTCCTTCGGGCTCGTATTACTTTACTAAGTATCCCAAATTCACAGATTTTTGTCGTGGAAACGCAGGATTGATTGAAATAATATTGTCAAAATTTTCTAAATTACCTACATTGAAATATCGAAATTTGGAAAGTGTAATTTGTGAATTATTATTACTTTAATTAGGAATCAGGAATACAAAACTGAAATTGAATTTTCAATTTTTTGGGGGAGGCTTAGCCTCCCCTGCTCCTCTGACGAGCCGTCACTAGTGGTAAGTGAGAAAAACTTTAATTTTATCAAGTAGGCTATGGAATGTTGGTTTTTCTTTGAATTTTTTGCTTTTCCAGGGCCTTTTTTATCAAAAAAAAGTGGTTTCAAGGGCAGGACTTCAGGTTTGCTTCATTTTCCACCAAAAACTTCCATTTTTAGACCTAAATTATTTCCTAATTTATCTTTGGCTTACTCACTATCAAACGTCATTTTCATAAAATTTTGTTAAAAATAAGTTTCCATTGCATTATTTTGGGAACTTATGTTTTTATAAATATTATTAATTGACTATTCAACTAAATTTAAAACAAAAAACCATTTTAAAATCTATTTTTTTCCTATCTGAGATGTGGCAACGCCGCTTTCAATCAAGTAGGCCTTGTAATGAAATGTCATTTGCCACTTTTTCTTTTGACAGTCGGCCATTTTTAATTGATGTGTTTACATAGTATCCTCGAATTCTCCGCTTTTCCAGGCAGTCTTTAGTCGGGAAAACTGGTTTAAAATACGAGGCTTTGAAAATCCTTCATTTTCCGCCAAAAATTTGCAGTTTTTCAAGAGGGGTAAGCAATGAAAACTCAAGTTTTATTAAGTAGGCTTTAGACTGTTATTTTGGCTGGTTTACCCAACGTTAGCCAATAGCCAGTGCTGGGTTCGTTTACATCAGAACTCGATTTAGCACAGTGTTGCCAACTATAAAATTTAAGTATATTAAGTATGTACCAAAATATTATCCATGTTAACTTTCAGGGTTGCCAATTTTGGAAGTGTTACATTTCAATTTTTGTCTCATTTGATTGGGCTCACATAAAAAGAAACTTTACATGGCCGTCTGAGTTTTAGCGATCTTCAATGTTGCCAACCGAACAATGTATGATTTGAATTGACATTGTTTTGAAATGAGAAAATGGCGCTTTCTTCACTTCTGTCGGCAATGAAACTCAGAGCATGGAGAAACTTTAAAAATTGCACTTTTCGAAAAAAGTACTTTATCGCCGAAAATAATATTTGTTTGTCTCATTTTTTTTCTTGAAATTTTCTTTCAACTATAACGTTTGTTGATGTTGGCAACAGTGTAGGTATGAACTGTCAAAAATAATTACGTAATGGACAATGTTTTGACGATGGCATTATTTTGGGACACAAAAATCACTACAAATGGTACGTTAAGAGAAAATATATTTTGGTACTTGTTGAGTGTTCCAGTGTTGGGATGTCAAGCTCCAATTCGCCAACTGAAAGAAACTTAAACTGCAATTTTACTTAAGATAATATGTGAGTTACTGCGAGTTTCAGTTTCAGTATTGCCAACTGTAAAATTTCAAATTCAAAGATATTTGACATGGCCTACTAGGATTTATAAATTATTGATTTTCAGTGGTGCCAATTGAAATTTGATGGCTTCGGAGTCGCCAACTAAAAACAAGTTATTTAAATTTTACACGGTCTACTAAGATATGTTTAAGTTATTGTGTTCCACTGTTGCCAATTGAAACAGAGGTATTCGAATTTTACATGGCCTACCAAGATGTATAGGTATTTGAGTTTCAGTATCGCCAACTGTAAATATTCGATACGAAAAAATTTAGCTCCAGTAATCGCCAGCTGGAAGAGAATTATGTAAATTGTATATGGCTTACTTTCCAGTGTCAAGATATTTTGACTTGTGAAACTTCAGTGTCATTTAAATTTTACATGGCCTACTAGGACATGGAATTTATTGAATAATGCCAAACCTCGATTTTGAATACGACTTTATCGAAAACAATATCTTTTGTCCGGCTCTTAACGTTGTCCTGTCTTCCAAATTTCTCTAAATAAAGAAAATTCAAGAGCCTGGAATAGAGAAAGAATGTGTGAAAAATAAAAAATTCTACGTCACGCCAAGAAAACCCTAGCGGGAAAGCTACAAAAAAAATTGTTGGCAACAGTGGTCAGTGTATGAGTTGTCGTAACTGTCAACCAAAAAAGTCATCTAACCGTTTTCAAGTTTATTCTTACAAAATTTGTAAATAAAAATAAATAATACGTTTCACGTTAACTTGGCCGCATACATTTTTCAGATTTAGTTGACATCTGACGCTGTTGGTTGACAGTCTAGTGAGCAAGAATTAATTTTAAATGAGTCGAAGGAGTGACAGCTGTCAGAAATTTTAATGGTAATTTCCGAACTAACTAATTACAAGAAATGTAACTCCAGTATCGTCAGCTGAAAGATTATTAATTGTAAATTATACATGGCCTACTATAACTTATTCAGTTTCAGTGTTGCCAATACAAAAATTCCGAAAATATAAAAAAATACCCTTCAGATACCTATTTATAAAATTGATGAGTCAATCAAGTGCCGGGAATATTTAAAATTTGAATTTAAAAAATTTATTTTGATTTGTTCATTCGAATTTCCCAATTTTCTCATGGGATTCACAATTAATTAATTAGTAGTCCCAAAAAAAACCCGCAAAAATCTTCAAGTTGCTTAAAGACTGACGTCATGTGTTGTCCGTGAAAATGACAGTTCTCCTAGTTGCTTAGCAAAAATATGGCTTAATGTTGGTGGTAGTAGTTGGCACTTTTTGCTTCCAATGTCACTTTTACATGAAACGATTTGTGAAAATAATTATGACAGATGACTGTTAAATAATTGACAGTTGTGTTACTTTTCAGGTCATTATTGGCGGTTCAAATTTGGACTGCGTCGCTCCATTTGGACGCGGATGAAATTAAGGTAAGTGGATATTGGACTTTATTCAAAATTAGGAATTTTATCTCCTCAAACCAAGGTTCCTAAAATTAATAGGCTGTCTGGTAAAAGGGGGGAAATTTTGATGACGTGGGGTACCTTGTAAAGATTTGCATTATGTTAAGGCACCCCAGGTGACGTCATAAAAGTTATCAGGCAACCTACCTCTCTCAAACAACCTTACTAGGGATTTCTATTTTCCATATACTGTCACAACTGTCAAAATCGCAAAATTGACAGAGACTCTTATAAGAAATTTAATGAATTGAAA